GTGTGTGTGTGTGTGTGTGTGTGTGTGTGTGTGTGTGTGTGTGTGTGCGTGCGTGCGTGCGTGCACACACCTCCCTACTCTTTCCAGCCCCAGTGACCTGTGAGGGAGTAAAACTCTCCTGCCCTCCTCATTCTTAACCTCAGACAGAAACACTCTTGACCTGCTCTGCCTGGGGTTTCCATGGCGACACGGTCACTACTACTGACATCAAACTCTGAAGGCGCTGCCACCCCAGACAGACACACACACACACACACACACTCAGCACAAGCACATATGAAACTGACCTGTTATGCAAACCAAAGTGTGCTCCAACGGTCCGAGTGACACTTCTGTCACTCACAGACACACATACCCAAACCGACACATGCACAACCCCAACTCAGCACGCACACACATGCACACACACACACACACAGAGTGGAATAAGTAGGTAGTCTGGAACACCAGAGCACGCAGGCAGAGAAAAGGCGAGACTTTTAATGAAATGTCACTGCACTCCGCTGGCTAGCCCCTTAGTCACGCTGAATAGCACACTCACATATACCTCAGAAATGTTAAGAGTTTACACATACACACACCTGAGAGACTTGAAATGCACGCACACACACACAAGCACACACATTGTCTGTGTCTGAGTGACTGGCTCATGCTATAATAGCACAGACATGTCTATTAAACCCTGCGTCGCATAGCTGTAGCTTAGATTACACAGAAAGAACTTTGGTGCCATGTCAGCCAAACTGCTGTGTGCGTGAGTGTGTGTGCGTGTGCGTGTATCAGTATGAGGGATGAATCCACAGTTTGTGTAAATGTATGTAATCTAGATATACTTAAACAAATAATTTACTGCATATAAATGGTTTATTCTTTTCTCACATGTTTGTGTGTGTAGAGGACAAAGTGTGGACAACAGTTATGAACAACCTGCCACCCAAAATTGCAGTGACTGGCTCCAGTAGAGAGAGACGCACCGTCTTACAGGTTAACTACAGTGCCTCTATGGACCAGGTAACCCCCCCACACACACACACACACGCACACACACACGCATGAATTATTCATAGGAAGTCTTGTGAGAGTTTTAGATTTTCTGCTATATTAAACTAAAAAAATAGGTAGGTGCCATCAAACACTGTTTTCCACTAAATATAAGTCTTGTGCTGTTCTTCAGTGAAATACAATGGGGAAAAAAAGCTTTTCATGTATTTCAAATTGTAGCCATCAGATTCTTAGTTTCATGTCAAGAGACTGCATACCAACATCCTCTTGTGAATGAGGTAGACTGTCAATCAACATAGTTGGCATTATTTTCTTTTAAATGATATCCAACACTTGAAGGCATGTCTAACATAGAGCATGCTTCTGTGTTCTCCACTGTCCTCAAAAAGCCCAGCCATGTCCCCTTACACTACACTGTGCCAACATTTTCTACTGTGACAGGCTGCCTTCTCATGTTGTTTGCTGATCAAAAACTCCTTTGATTTTCTCCCTCAAAACGCACTGGAAAGAATCACCCTTTCATAGACTCCTACAAGTAACTCAGAGTGATCCACAAACACAAGTCATAGCGTTCATGTGTGAATATCTTGTCGCCTCTTCATTTTTGATTTTATTGCAATTGTTTCCACGTCCAAGAGATTATTTTTTCTCTTGCAAAGCCCCTAATTTCTGGGTACTGTAACTATCCCTTACACTCGGCCTCACTAAAATCTCACCATGTCTGTGCTCCGTTAAAATAGTATCTTTACTGTTTTTGTGAGATGAGTGGTAATGCTTAGCACAGGTGATTGGGATCATGCCTACGTGGCAGCCAGACACTGACACCTCAGTCTGCACTTTCCAGAAACTGCAAAGAAATCAAACAGAAGTAGATTGTAATTAAACAAGTCCATTTTTCAACGTTTGGTAACAACTAGTCGGAGCTAGCGGAGCTTTGCATAGAGTTGTTTGTAAAGTTGACCCAGTGCTAACGGAGTGCTCTTGAGAATCTAGTGAAACTCGATTGCCCAGTTTCCATATAAATAAATCAAGTAAACGAGTAGACCGAGCAGCAGTTGGCCAGGTTGTGTTGAGGTTGTCCATTTCCTCAACCTGAGCAAGATAATCAAGTGTAGAAATTGGATGAATTTGTGATATATTCTGATTATCAATATCCATCTTTAGACAGTCTGTAGCAACGAGAGTGAAGTGAGTCATTTATCCTTCTGTCTTGTAATGGCCGTAAATATACAGAATACATTTAGTCTGTAACTATGGTAACATTTATCCTTGTTTTGACAAACCAACACCATCAGCTGCGTCATATACTGATTCAGTCTTATTCACTCATTGCCATGGACTATAGAAATAATTGAGTCATTTCTTCCTATATCTTGTGGTGGTCTTTGTCAACATTGATCTCTGTAGTCAATTAGTCGTTTTGTATGGTTTTTTTATGCTGAATGACTTATTTCAAAGAATCTTCAGAAGACACTGGTAAAAACATTTAATGCGGTGCTTTTCTGTGATTCTTTGTGGAGAAACTAAGTTTTACTTATTGATTAGTTGACAAAATCATATGAGTAGTCGAAATAGAGCTTCTTCTGCTCTAAACTATGGTAACATTAACGCTGTCCCTGTTTTAACTAACCTACACCATCAGCAGCGTCATATACTGATGCAGTCTTAATTCTTTTAAATGCACAATGATAATATCACTGTTCCACCTCTCGTCCCGGCCACCTGTCTCCTGTGGTGTTGCTGCATACAACCCAAATCTGTTCTCTCACACTAAAGAGTCAATACCTTAGTCTTGCTGGTTGCACAGGAGGCACGAAGACGCACGTCAGCTTTTTCAAGTCATGTTCTCTGACAGCCCCTCTCAGTCTAAAGCGAACCGTGTGTGAACTTTACAGGTTTTAATGTTCCAATGAGGAGTGACTGTGGTTTTGTCCTTCCATTAGACAGTGTTTGAGCAGCATATGCTTCCTATAATTTAGTTCTCTCCTAATTTGTATGGATCACTTGTTCCAATATTCAGCTTCTCTAAATCAGGGGAACTTAAATTAAAACATTACAGTGCACTTTAATTCATTATGCAGCTCAATAATTTGCTTTTACGTGAAATTGTCCTGTCTGGCTGAATAAGATAAAAATTACAATGCATATCTGTGCTGGTGTTTCCAGGTGACAGCCATCACCACCAGTGCGGAGTACTGTGAGCAGCACATCGCCTACAGCTGTCGCTTGTCCAGACTGCTCAACACTCCAGGTAAGGGCTGAGGATGGCACTTTTATTCTCCACTGACTCAAGCACAGGTTCACAGTTCTGAGAAAGGCAGGATGTTCTTTATGTCATAGTTCATTCTAACAACGACTTTCAACCAGGAGACTTGTGTTCGAGAGCAGCATTGAGTTATTTTGAAGTTACGTTGGTGACGTTGGTGACGTGTTTTCAGTACTTGGGTTGTCTTGTTTACGTTTTACTTGGTTTACGTACTTATTTTAGTTCCAACAATGATGTTTTCCCTAAACCTAACTTAGTGGTTTTGTTACTTAAACCTGAGCAAGTATTTGTTTAAATTCACAACATTAACTCTGTGTTTGTTGCGCCGTTCACTGGGCTACCCAGTGCATATGAAAGAGATGCCAAGTGACGAGTTGGAGTGAGAATGTGTTGTATTTTACAAATATTATTGCCTCCCTCATTTGTTATTGAAAGCTTCACAATAGAGTTCTAGGGTCCCGGCCCTGGTTGGGTTATTGTCTATCTGTATGTTTGACTGTTGCTTTCATCGTGTCTTTACCTAGCACTACAGATAAAAGTACTGAAACAGAGCAATGGAAATGAGTTGTGGCCTGGCTGGCATCATTCTGAATAGATTAACTTGGATAATATTCATTTAAATTGGATTTGTTTGGACTCAGTCAGTTTGGCTGTAATGTGCTTCAGCAAGGCCTGGCATGGTCTTCCTTGTTTGGTTTGGATTAGTTAGGCTGGCTAGTGAAATGGCTGAGTTGTGTAAGATTTGCCCTGGATTAGATACGTTTGATTTGCGCTATGGCTGGGTTTAGTGGACTTTCAATGGTAGTTTTTAGAGAAAATAGAGAGGAGGGCTTGCAGCTGTGTTTTACTCTTGTTTAGCTCAAAGCTTGGTATTAAGTCTAATATCCATGTGTGTGTGTGTGTGTGTGTGTGAGTGTGTGTGAGTGTGTGTGTGTGTGTGTGTGTGTGTGTGCCTTTGCATAATGTTATTCACAGTGCTGTGTGTTTTTCACTATGAGAATAACAAACTCGCTGTCATTGTCAGAGCTGCCTTTTTCCTCTGTTTCCTTTCTGGCTCTCACACATACACAGTGCGCACGCACACACCTACACACAAAGACCCACCTTAGGGATTGCTTCATAAAGACAAGACACTTGTGGCAATTAGAGTGAGGAGATGAAATAAAAAGTGGGCGAAGTAGGGAGAGAGGATCTTGCGTTTGTTAGATGTGTGTGTGTGTGTGTGTGTGTGTGTGTGTGTGTGTGTGTGTGTGTCCGTAGTCCTTGATTGACTGAGTAGGAATAAAGCGACAGGTGGTTACTAATAGCTGGGTATTAGTGCGGCAGACCAAAACTTTGCCATTAACTTCCACTGCACTGAGAGATGGCAACTAGACCTGCAGTGCACAGAAATACACACACCTTATTAATACGCTCTCTTTTTATAATCATGCTTAAATGCTTTTGTGTGAACACACACACACACACACAAACATGCAAACATCCCTCCCACACCCACACACACAGTCAGTCAGTCCTTCATTAACTAGTTTACTCCTAATTCACTGCCTTGCAAGTTAGGGAAATCCAATTACCAGTTTAGAATGACTGAGGTAGTAGGACCGGCAAAAATCATTTACCCAAAAATATGTTTCATAAATTAGCTGTCAGCTTTCATCAAATTACACTGTCAACAGTATTTTCTCTGCAGCACAGGCACACGCACATACGCACACTACACTTCCACTTCCTCTTTTTCTCATCCGGATCTCATCTATTACACTAGGGCTGGCATTTAAGAGCTAAACGAACCGTTAAATGGGAATTATATTCTGCCACCAGTGACATCCCTAATTTGGAACTTGGGCAGTAATTGTCCTAATTGTGTGACCCCCCCTTCCTCACCTCGTTCCCGTATTCTGTCCCTTCACCGTTTTTTATCTACCGTCATTCACTCAAACGCATTCTGCACCTGCGCACACACAGTTTGTCTCCGTCCAACATTGGCTCATTCGCCAGATGGGTGGGTAAAATAATGGGAGAGCGTGATGCTGATGCATGCAACAACACACACAAAGAGACAGCTCAAAGGCACGCACAAACTCGGGCAATATTTCCCTTTTGTCTCCTTCCTCACCTATTTCCTCCTTTTATCTAATCTCTTCCTCTCTCCACTGCTCCTTATCATCTTCTGCTTCCACATTTATCAATTCATATCCATTTATTGTCTTTCCTCATTCCACACTTGCTTCCTCTACTCCCCCCTTTGTTTTCCTTCATCCCATTTAAAGTCTCCATTTTTACCTTTAACCTATTAAAAGGAGAATTAGCTCCCTTCACTAATGATTTAGAATCCTTCCTTTCAGTGTAAACAACCTGTAAACAACCAATGGCACAAGACTTGCACAAAAAAAGCCTTTGTGCAGATAAAAAGACACAGCTATCACTCTCTGACACACATACTCACAGCCACGGTGGATTTTGGATGAAGCATATGCTGAAGCTGGTGAGTGCTGTACATCAGTTGCCTTGACGGGTCATGAATGTCCAATGTAATAAGCCAGGTACAGTACCTTTGTCACATTATGTTTATGTACCAGAAGTCCTGGTCCCATCAGTCAATCAGTGTTCTACACTTGCCTTTACCTACATGTGTTGTAGTCGGTGGTATCCATTTGAAAATTACCGTTTGAAATTATCCAACAACTCTCAACAATTCTTCCAACATTTTCAATTTTCTCGTGTTATGTGATATCTGCGAATATTTGTTATATAATATTTCTTCAAACTGTTGTTTTTATCATGAATACTTTCACACAGAACGTGAATATTACGCAGCAGAAAAGGGGGCGTTATTTTTCTCTGGAGCTATGTTGATTTATCTGTGAATAAGCGGATCAACGATCATGTGTGGAACGGACAATCAACATGTACACTATCGTGTTCAACAGACAAAAAGAGACTCCGTAGTTTAAACCAAACACATGTAGGAGAAGTGTGCTTTCAGGTTTTCTGCCAGGAATCATATTAAGTTTAGGGAGAATACCTACTTGATTAGGTTCAATTAAAGAGCCTGGATGTGTGCAATCTGCACCAAGACGGCAAACTGTAATTCTCCTTTCAATCTCGACAAAGGCATCGAGTATCAGATCCACTTCAAATGTATTCACATATGTGCACACACTCACTTTGACTCAGAGCTTTTGTAAGCTTGTGAAAACACATGCTGTGTCTCTCTCTATTGCCTGAAGCGATTGATAGAATCATTTTTAGAATCCAGGCTAATGAAGAGAGAAATATCTCTGTCGAACAAATGAGCTCATTAATCCAGTCAATTGTTCTACGGTAAGAGGTGTCTAATATGGGCACAGATTCACACATTCGCTGCTTATATGAAGAAGCTTTGACTTGAGATGCTAGTCATGCAAACACAAAGTTACTCTGATTCTAAATTTCGCAGTTGGTGGACAGGAGCTTGTACCTTAAATCTGGTTACCCAAATTTAACAAAAAAGTGTAATTAAGTCTCCAATAACATACTCAAGGAATGCTATTTGTGCCTTTCATAAAAATGTTGTTGCACATAAAAGTTGAACTTATTGACTGGATGTAGCATTACTGACTCAAACCACTTTTGTCCAATATAATTGTCATCCAATCATGTAATCAAACAAATGTTCTCAAGAGCAAAGTAAGCAAGCAGCAAAATTCAGTTACAGCAAATGTAATGTTTTGTGATAATAACCTGCCCACTCTAAAATGAGATTGCTGATAGTGCTGAATAGCCAGCCTTTTTCTCTCTGCTGAGGAAAGCTTTATTTTTCTGTCAACATCCAGTTAATCTGTGGGGGATGACATAAAGTTATGATTGTCAATGTATTTTTTTTTTTGTCCAGTCATGTCAAAAATGACAATTGTACTGGTAAATGCTCTCATTATAAAGGGCTATTATTTCAAGATTTCATCAAATTATGAAACTTTTGTTATGTTAGCATATTTATTTGCTGTTAAAATGTAACAGGTCACTAAAAGGTAGGGACAAGTAAGTTATAAAGCAACTATATACAGTAAATAGATACAATGAAAAGCTTTAGTGTGAGTAGAATAAATGGAGAAAGCTGAAGAGAGAGAGAGAAAGTGGAACAGAGGGAGAAACTGAAACTCCTGTTGTCCAAGCTGTCAACACACTTCAGTCACAGGTCGAGCAAAAGGACTGTGCCAACAATAGACTACTGGACTGATATCAGGGTGCAGCATAGGGCACTCAGTGGAAAAACAATGAACTTGGGACAAATGATTAACTGGCTGACCATAGAGGTGAGAACAACTCCGAATCTTTATTTAATGAATATTAATATATATATATATAAGTTCCAGTTCTTTATTGTCATAAACACACTGATTAGAAAAGCCAACGGAGGAAAGATAGAGAGTGATGGACACAGGAGGAGAGGGGAGCAACAGGGGTAGCCGGAGATGTGAGATGAGTGTGGCTCGGGATAATGAGGCCGTGTGTATGCACGGCGCTGTTACAGTCTATTCCTTAGGCACTTCTGGTCTCAATTATTGCCACACAAGTCACAGCAAGCCCAGCGCTGTAATATTCCACACACACACACAGGTCTTACCCATGGTGACTTTATTCTTCAGCGCTGGTTAACCACTTGTTTATTTTTTTTCTTTTGTGTTTGTTCTTTGATGTTCATCATTAACCTTTACAAATGCAGCAGTAGACATTTTCTCTTCTCTCTCGCTTTTGCTCTTAAGCTCCTGTGCCGATCTGCAAAAATAACAGGTACCAATAATGATGTACTGCTGTGAAATGTGAACAAGGCGAGCTGACATCCAAGTGAACTGCAAAAGTTCACTGGAAAATATGAAATCCTTAACTAATTGACAATGAGTGCTTCAGTCTTCTGCACTGTGGCTATTATGTCAACTCACACCTGTTAAATTGATTTTGTCTTTTGTATTAGTAGTTTTCCTGCTGATTTAAAAATGTATAAT